GTGGCTTGGGTGGTGCTCGCCAACCAGTGGCCGTGCCGCCTCAGCTGGGCGCTGCAGTGCCTGGAGGACCGGCAGCAGGCCGGGGGCGCGCCCGAGGGCCGCGCGCGCCTCTGGGACGTGTTCCGCGATAACAGCCGCGAGCTGCACACCATGACCAAGGCTTTGCAGAATGTGCTCGACCTGGATGGCGACCCTGAGCTCTTCGCGCGCTTTCTGGGCGCCGACTTCCCCTTCACCGTGGCGGAGGCGCAGAGTCTGCTGCGCTGCACCGTCAACCTGGACCACTCCATCCGCCGCCGCATGGGCCTCCTCCGTGCCGTCAGCGCGCTCAAGCCGCCCAGTTCGCCCAAGTCCCCCGCCCGTGACGCCCCCCACGCCGCCAACGGAGCCAACAACCCCTCAGGGACCTCTCCGTCCGGCCGTGCCGCGGGGCAGGCCAGCGATGCCCACTACACCGGGGACTGGGCCCACGGGGGCAAGCCAAAGTCGGCGGCCTGAGCGCCCACCACTCGAGGGGAATCCAGCCCGGGCTGGCCTGGAATGGAGGACTTCGTGGGCCGCAGGAGGCAACAGCTCCTCCATCTGCCCACAGGAGAGCTTAGGGGGCGGGACTGGGCCCAAGGTCCAGGGTCCCGTGTCTGAATGAGGCCTGTGGTGGCTACATGGTCCAGGAGAATCTGTGAGACAGAGCAGTGGGCAGTAGCCTCCAGGAGTGGGGCAGTGTGCCAGCGCCAGTGTCTGAGAGGGGTACAGAAAGGCCAGTGAGGAACTCAGGGTTCAAGTGCAATAAATGAAGGTGTGGAAAGCCCCTGGTTGGTCTTTAGATCCTCGTCTCCCCGGCTCTGAACACTGGGAACTAGGCCTGCCCTGTCCTGCCAAGCCCACCTCCTCAGAGAGCCTGAGCTGTGCCCTGACAGCCGTAGCTGGCATCCTTGGTGGCAGAGAGGGAATGTGGGGGTGGTGGGCGAGGCTGACAGAGGCAGGGGAGATGAAGGGCAATAGGCCAGGTTGACTCAAGCAACGGGAAGCGCCCAGGCCTCAGGGGATCCCAGGTCTTTGTCCCCACGCCCTAGCCTGTCCCTGTGTGTGCAGGGCAGGAGCTGGCATTTCCCGGGGCGGGGTCCCCGGTGACCTCAGCAGGCTGCTCCACCCCCAGGGTGGCTCCACCCTCAGCATGAGTTAATTAGGCCTCACTGGAACTTCAGCCAGCTGGGGTGGGCAGCACTGCCTCCCTGAGAAAGGTAACTGTCCAAGGGGTGTCTGCCTTGAAGAACACTCCAGGGCAGGGAAGCTGAGGAGCAGACATGGGGACACTTGAGGGGTGTACAGCATTGGAGTCACAGCCAGGCAGGAGGGTTTATACGAGGGCTGGAGTTATACCCTGCCAAGGGGGCTTACCACCTTCCCCTTCTGACAGTGTCCCAGAGACCTAGGATGGAGGTGTCACACCTCTGGGCAATTCCTAACTCCTCAGTGGTCAAATATTCAGCCACACACTCAGGCCTGTGGGGTGCCTGGCCCAGTCCAGTGTGTGGAGGGGTGGGGATAGTTGGGGCGAATACTGAACACACTCTGGGAGCAGAGGTCGAGGGTGTGACTTCTGAGCTAGGGCTCCAAGGGCTAAGGGGTTAGTCCCTGAGGGACTGAAGAGCTCTGTAAAGGCACCCACACTCAGGCCATGTGGCTGGGGGATACTGGCCTCACATTCCTTAGCTCCAAGGTGGGGCATAGCACCCAGGCCTGGCCAGCCCAGCATCTGGCTCCCCTGGCCATAACAATCAATTCACATGTGGACACAGGTCAGTGAGAGGCTCCCTGTGATTTCTATTGGAGCTGTCAGGACGGAGGTGCTGTTTTTCAGCCCTGGTAGGGCTAATCTAGCAGAAGCCTTGACCTGCTGGGAGATGTTTTGCAATAGTAGGGGAGAGCCTGCCCAAGAATGAAACCACCAGAGACACATGGGGCCTCGTGACACTGTTAAGTGTAGATATGCTGTTACACATCTACAGCTGTGTGCGCCAATATATCTCCCTTCCCTTTTACCGCCCTTAAGCCAGTTTGAGTTGGGTTTGTTTCTTACCACCCAGAATGCAGGCAGAAAATGAATTAGTTCCAGGAATGGGGTGCAGCAACAGACACTAATGCAGACTTGGCTTGGGAGCAGGACTGAGGACCCCATGCCTCAGTAAGAAGCTGCAGTCCCTGCTGTGTGGTGCCAAGCAGCAAACTTTTGCCCATTTTGTCTTAAGATTCCGACCACGTGCCTGCCAAAGTGAGTTTTGGGGGACATTGAAAAAAATAAAACAGAATGTCAGAGTGGCTTGGCGAGGCCAAGATGGCTCACTGTCCACCAGGGTTTACATTCCTCTCAATAGTGTGGAGCTTTTGTGGGAAGTTGCATCTAGGTGAGGAATAGGACTAGTTACCTACAAAAGGTAGTGCCAGTGATGTGTGTCCCTTTTCTGCCACAGCGATGAGTTAAGAAGCAGATCTGCTTTACCTGCTCTCCTCCTCCATCTGCTTGCTGGACGCAGGGACTGCTGAGGTCCTAGGGGGTGATAGAGCCACAAGGGCTTGGAAGGGGCCTGGGTCCATAAATCACTTGGTGAACAGCTGCCTGTCACTCTGAACACCCACATGTGTGACAATAACATCTCCTGTGTTAAGGTGTTGTTGAGACCTTTAAGATTTGGTTTTCATGGGTTTTTCTTGGTGGCTGGCCAGTTCAGGGATCTGAACCTGTGACCTTGGTGTTGTAAGACTGCTCTAACCAACTGAGCTAACTGGCCAGCCCTTTAAGACTTGGTACAGCATGGAGCCATGTAATAAAATGGACCTTCTTGCATTTTCAGCAGAGGTTACCAAAACATGACAAGCCTGGGTGGCTGAAAACAGAAAATACCCGGCCAAGAGGATCCTCTCTGACTCCAGCCCTCAATCCAGGACCCCCTGAAAGTCAGAAGTTCAGGAGCACTATTAGAGTTGTTATATTTATTCCCGGGGATGCTGTAACAAAGTACAACAGACTGGGTGGCTTAGAACAATAGAAATTTATTGTCTCACAGTTCTGGAGGCTACGAGTCCCAAATTAAGGGGGAAGTCTTCTTTGTGTCTTCTTAGCCTCTGGTGGGCTGCTGGCAGTCTTGGGTGTTCCTTGGCGTGTAGAAAGATGAATCACTTCAGTCCTCCGTCTTTGCATGGCCTTCTTCCTGTGTGTCCGTCTGTGTCCAAATTCCCCTCTTTATGCGGACACCAGTCATACTGCATTAGGGCCCAGACTGATAACCTCATTTTAACTTGATTTCCTTTGTAAAGACCCTATTTCCAAGTAAGGTCCCATTTAGAGGGATAGGGGATTAGGACTTGAACATCTTTTTTTGAGGGGGACACAATTCAACTCCTAACAGTTGAGAAGGCCCGCTTGCTCACCCCAGGCTAAATGTAGTGCATACAAAGGCAAGCGGCAAGGCTAGGAAGGGGACCCCAGCCCCTCACGGGCGCCATAGGAGGGACAAACATACACAGACCCTACCCCCAGCCCACCCCACCTGGAGGTGGAGGCAGAGGGCCAAGTTGCAGGACAGGTGAGTACCCCACACAGTTGCTAAGGGCCAAAAGCCCCCACTGAGATGAGCTTCATGGGCAACAGCTAAGACTGCTCAAAGGTCTACCAAGACCTTTAGGGGCTGTACTGACAGACCCCAACCAGGCAAAGGACTCTGGTTTCTCAGTGCCTGGAGGCAAGCACCTCCCACTCCTATCTCACCCGGAAAGGGGCTGGAACCAGGACAGCCTGGAGGGGCTCGTCCTGCACCCACCTCACATACGGCCACAGTGGGCACTGGGGGTATGGGGGTGGGTGACGCCTAGAGCTCAGAGCTGGGGATGACAGGCTGGCTGCACTGGTGTCTCCCGGCTGCCTGAGGGACAGGACAGGGTGGGTTCTATGGGCTGCTGGTAGCTGTTGTGGGTGGCTTCCCCTTGCCCAAATGGGAGTCCTTACTGCTTGTCCTGGGGAGCAGTGAGGACACCTGTAGCTGCAAGTGACTGAAGAGCAAGCTGAAAGTGGCTTAAATAAGAAAGGTGTTTATCACCGACGCAGAAGTGGCTGGGGGCAGAGGATTCCTGGGTTTGGGCAGGAGCTGAATGACATCAGGGCTCCTGGCCACCAACGGGTTCTTGCGCCTCAATCCACATCAACCTCCCATACAGGAAAAGAGGGGTGAGTGGACAAGCCTTTCCTGTCAGGTGGTTCTCTCATTTCTAAAAGGTGAAATAGACTTCTCAGAGACACGCGACAGCCCTCCTGCCATAGCCCAGGCATGCGCTGGTGAAGGGAAGCAGCTGCCCAGACAGGCTCCTGCTGCTAATTCGGGCCCTGGCACAGGCCCACCTGTACACCTGGGGCTGGTGTCGTTCTTGCTGAGCCAAAGGTGACTGGGCAGAGGAAGGACTCTGACCCTAAGTGCCATATTCAGCCTGCTGAGAACCTAAATCTGAAGCTGGAAAACATCTGGGGTTGGTCTCCTCCGAAGAAAGGGCGAGTGTGAACCGGACTGTCTGTGAGACGGCTGTCCTAGGCCAGACTGGGGTGGAAGCTCCATCACCAGGAGCTGTTATGGCCCCTACGCACCCCACCCCCCAGCACCTCAGCAGGGGTACCCAGGGTCAGCACAAAGCAGAGAGCAGGCAAATGGTGAACCCAGCCCCGGTTTATTAGAAAAGGTGTGAACAGAGTTGCACCAACAGGAGCAGACGCTCCCCTGCCCTCTGCCCGCCCGCCTCCCGGCCCCCACCCTCAGGTTGTAGTGCCTCTCAGGGTGCAGCCTCACGTGGCCTGGGCAGCAGGTCCCTGGAACCCCACTGTGCCCGCCCCAGCTCCCTGATAGATTTATTGCACTTAAGAAGAAAGCTCCAATCCTCTGCTCCCGTCCCCCACCCCGGACCCAGCCCTCACCCTGTCTGGGACTGTTCTACGAATGTCAACCACCACCATCACTCACTGCCCCTCCCATTCCATGCTCTCTGCCTGGTCCTGAGCCGGAGCCACCCAGACACCATCCCACCACCACTCAGGACTCCTGCCCTCAACAGGGCAGCCTGGCCGAACGGGGCCCTCCGGAACAAGAGCCCAGCCTTGTGGAGGCCTCTTCCTTCTCCTCCCCACATCTGCTCTCCAGCCCAGAGTCTTCAAGTGGTGGACACATAAATACAAGTGCTTAAGTCAGGGCCAGGAATGCCACTCCCTGTAGTGCCTGTACCCCTTGTAGTGTTGCTGTGGGGGAAGGAGGGTCCCCAGAATGGCCCCCACCCCCCAGGCGTCCTGGGCCTCAGGAAGGCTGGGGGTGAGGGTGGGCAGATTCTCATGGCTCTGGCCTCAGCTCATCGAAGACCGACTGGAAAAAAGGAACTTGGGGAGAAAACATTGGGGGAGGGAGGGACGATTAGAACCAGGGCCTCCCTTAGCCACTCCCCGGCTCTATGGGCCCCCCGGCCCTCACCTCACCTAAAGTGTCACAGTGTCTCCTGCCCAGATTCCTGACTGGCTTCCAGAAGCAGCTCCTCGAGCTCCTTCTCGTTCTTGGAGCAGCTCAGCTCTGTGTGGGGAGGACGCACAGGCGGCCTCCAGTCAGGCAGGTGGGGATGGGGTAGGCAGGTACCAGCCTGTCCCCATCAGCCCTACCCAGGCCAGACCCTCGGGGCCAGTACAGTCCCAGGTACCACTGAGACCAACAGATACAACAAATCTTACATGCTCATAGTACCCCCATGGAGAATGCCCAGGAGCCACGGGAAGCAGAGTGAGGACCAAGGACCAAGTCCCACTTGTCCCTGCTCCTTCAAGGACCATTTTAAAGAGGGGAAATGAAGCCCACCAACAGGCAGGTGCTTGCCTGGGGTCACACATGGCACCCAGGGGCCCCTGGTCACCCTGCCCAGAGCCCCTCTCACCGTGTTCCAGGCCGCAGCTGCCCCCCTTGGCCTCAGGCCCTGGGGGTGGCTCTGGGGGCAGTGCGAGGGCAAACTCAGGCTTGAGGCCGTTGGGCAGTGGGGGCCCTGACCGAGGCGGCTCCGGCTGTGGCTGTGGCTGAGACTCAGATGACCCTGGGTCCTGGGTGCCAGTGGCCTCAGCTGGCGGTAGGGCAGGTGAGGCAGGTGGAGAAGGAGGGGCTAAAGGAGGAGCGGAGGGAGGAGCAAGGGTCTCAGGGGGCTCCGCCCTCTCAGGTGGACTCTCCACCCGGGTCACCACAAACACCTTGTGGCCCCGGCCTGGGCTGGACACAGAAATACGCTGCTCGGTGGGGGAGGAGGGGCTACCTGGGGGGCTCTTGTCCCCAGGGCCCAGGGAGTCCGTTGGGGGCACCAGGGCAGGGCAGGGGGCTGAGGGGCTCTGACCACTGCCGGCCTCACCCCTCTGCCCACCCTCCTCCTCCTCCTCCCCATCAGAGTCTGAGTCTGAGTCCGAGTCTGGGCCAGGCCCAGGGCTCGGGTTTCCGTTCTGCACCCCAGCAGCAGGCTCGTCCCCAGGCTCTTCGTGCCCGGCCTCTTCATCGGGCGGGGGCTCGGTGATGGTGATCTCAGGCATGGAGGCTGACAGCTGCAGCCGCTGCTCTTTCTCCTCCCGCTCTCGCGCCAGCACGAAGTTGCGCTTACAGCCGTTCTGGATCTCGGCCAGCAACGCCTTCTGCGTCTCAATGAAGCTCTTCACCTGCAGGCAGGAGTGGCCTGGCTAGGGCTCTCGGGGCCTGCCCACTGTGCCTGCCCTGCCTGCCCGGGGCCTCACCAGGGCCGCGGGAAGGAGCCCCTGCTCACCGCCTCCTTCTTGGGCTCGCGGTCAAGGTCCAGGCGCAGCAGTGAGTGGTTCACCTTGAGGGCCAACGACAGTGCCATTAGCCCGCCTGTCTTGATCTCGTTCTCCCGGAGGTCCAGTCTCAGGAGGCGGGGGCTCTCGGCGATGAACTCTGCCACTGCCACCGCGCCTGGGAGGGGGACCGCAGGGGCTGGCCATGGGCCCCACGCCCGGCTGGCCGCCCCACTGCGCCCCGCTGGCCCTGCTCCCCTGGCCCCGGCCCGTGCCCTACCCTCGCACGTGAGCTTGGTGGAGGCCAGGCCAAGGCGCAGCACGCTGCGGTTGCTGATGAGCCCATTCTTGAGGTTCCGCACACCCTCATTCCCAATGGGGTTGTGGCCCAGGTTCAGAGTCTCCAGGCTCTGTGTGTGCGGCTGGAAGGGATGAGGCGTGAGGGTCAAAAGAGGAACCCATTGGTGGAGGAAAGGCCCAGAAGGATGAGTCAGGAAAGAAGCTAGACAAACAACCAAACACATGCTTTTTCCTCAGCAGCGCCTGTCTGAGCACCAGCATAATCCTGCCCTGCTGCAGATCTGGGAAGGTGGAATCCCTTATGTGCTTAGAGTCTCCCCGAGGTGCCAGTCCCCTCCCAGCCCTCCAAATATCTAGCCAGTCCCTAGACTCCACAGCCTGGGACCCCCTGCCTTCATCAGAGCCTGTCAGCTCCACACTGAGGCTCAACCTGTGAGCCTGGACTTTCAGTGTCCTGAAGGACTCTGAGGGCACAGCCTTCACCATGGGTGGCTCTTAACCTGGGTGTTGGATACACAAGTGCTCACCCAGGGGTTCTTTGTACCTACATGGCTTGCCTTAGATACTGCATAATAAAAAGACTGTAAACTCACTGAAGGCTTCTGGCAATATTAACGTTTTAGGCGAAATGTTTTCACCTTGTGCAAAGTACTGTGCTAGTGTACAGTGTTAGATGCAAAAAGACAAAGAAGAGCTATTTTTCTTCAGGGAAAACAAGGCACAGCAGCTGAATGAGAGACCAAGCAGGGCTGAGAGCTTAAACAGTTCCTAAACTTGCAGGATGAGCAAGACTGGGAGCCAGGACAGCTGGGAGACAACTGTGTGACAGCTGGGGTGTGTGCTGGTGGCGGGGACCAAGGAACCTCCCTCCCCTCTCCCGGCCCGACTCACCAGCGTCATGCCCAGGAAGGCCATGCCCGTGTGCGTGAGCTGGTTGTTCCACAGCACCAGGGTCGCCAGCCCCTTCCTCTGCTCTTTGAGGCCCTCACAGATGTAGGCCAGACCTGGGGGAGGCCTGTGGTCAGAGCCCTGTCTGTGGTCCAGGTGCTCCCTAGAGGACGCTAGTGTGGGAGTGACTACCTCTGCTCACAAGCCCCCATGGCTCCATCCTCACCTGCCTGGCCCCATAGGCTCTGGCCCTGCTGTCCTACTGCTGCCGTGGTCCCACCTCGGGCTGGCACACAGCTCCCTTGATCCTTGGGCTGGGAACATTTACCCCCCAGCTGCCTCAGATCTTTGCTCAGATGACACCATCCGCAGCCAGCCTAACCTCGGTAGCCAGCTCAGCCCTCCCACCCACCGTTGCTGCTTTAATTTTCTCCAGCACACATCTCACAATCTGACAAAGGAGATATTTTACCAACTTGTCTTTGTCTCTCCTGACTACAGTATGAGCTCACGAGGGCAGATCTCTGTGTCTCACTCACAGCTGTGAGCCTGGAGCCTGGAACAGCTGTGGCAAGTGGTGGATACTCAGCAGATGTGGGGTCTGGGCCTGTCGCCATGGGGCAGGGCACTGGCCTCACTGTCCCACTCTGCCCCCTCCACCCCTTTGTGCACAGGAAGCCAGGGGATGCCGCTCAGCAGTGAGCCAGGTCACACCCACCCCTCCTCCAGGAAGAAATCGGGATCTCCCCCGACCAATATCAAACATCTAAGCTCTTCCCCACCTCAGGGCCTCTGCACTTGCTGTTCCCTCTGCCTGGATGGCTGGCTCCACTCTCGGCCTCCAGATCACTGCCCAGAGGTCCCCCGGTGGCGTTCTTCCCCCCACTGCACCATCTCAAACAGCCTGTTGACCCTTTATCCCAATAATGTTATCTCCTTCAGGGCAATTTTCAGATTATAATTACTTTAATTATTTGTTCAATACCTCACCTCATTCTCAAGGTGTTAGTTGAACTGTCCTCCCTCCAGGAAGCCCTCCCTTGACCTTCAGACTAGGTCAGACACTCCCTCTGGGCTCCCTCAGCCCAGCCCTGTCCACTCTGGGTCATCACTGTCTAGGGTGGGTCTGTCTTCCCCACTAGACTGTGAGCTCCAGGAGCACAGTGTTGGGACTGTCTTGGCCACGTCTGTGTCCCCAGCACCACCTAGCACAGAGCTGAGCACAAAGTGGGTGCTGGGTGACTGGTGTTGGTGTGGGAGTGGGCAAGACCACCACACACCTGAGTCTAGCACATGGTTGTTACGGAGGTCCAGGATCTGCAGAGAGCAGTTGAACTTGAGCAGGTTGCCCAGTTGGGCTGAGTCCTGCAGGCCATTGAGCTTGTTGTCAGCCAGGTACAGCTCCCGCAGGTTCATGTTCATCTTCAGGGCTGTGGCTGGGGGAGTGGGCAGGGAGGGGATGCGGTGACTGGCCAGGCCACCCCCTGGGTGGCTCCTGCCCGAGAGATATAGTTAGCAACCCCAGTCCATAGGCAGGCTGCAGGTCACCAAAGGGCCCTGGGGCTCACCAAGTAGCATGAGGGGCCGTCCTGACAGGCTGGAGTTCTCCAAGTGCAGCACCGCCAGGCTGCTGCGGATGCGCAGGGCGCGGGCCACAAAGGGCGCCGAGTGATCCAATAAGGGCGTGCTGCGGGCATCCAGGTACTGCAGGCAGCTTGTCTGGGGGTGGGGGGCAGGTGCAGGGGCTGGGTCAGGCCTGGCCCCAGCCCTCCCTGGCCTGGGGGACCAGCCACCCACATCTCAGCAAGCGGCAAGGCCACAGATGTCATCTAGTTTCACAGCTGGGGAAACTGTAGCTGGTGAGGGAAGGCTCGGCCTGGGGTCCCATGCTGAGTAAGGCAAGGAGCGTCCTGGACAGCTCCACCCTCTGCCTGGGCCCAGCCTCCCCATATGTGAGTGAAATGGGGTGGCAAACAGTCGACTGCAAGGGATTATATTATGGAGGAATGAAGGAGGAGGAAAAACTGCCTTGTGGGGAGAGGAGGAGCAAGGATAGGCCTGGGGGACAGGGTGCTTCTTGACACTGTTTACCACAGGTCTGGAAGCCAGGCCCAGCATCCCCACAACAGCCCACAGCCGAGAACTCATGGAATCAGGGCCCAAGGGCTGGGTGCCCTAGGAAAGCCCCACCTTGCGCATCATGTGGGCGGCAGCCTGCCAGCCCCGGGTGCCAATGTGCTTGTTGAAGGAAATGTTGAGGTGGGTGGCCGACTCGTAGTACTCGATCATATCGAAGAGGGCTGAGGCACCCTGGGGACAGAGACACAGGGGTTCTGGGTAGCGAGAGCGCCTCATGGGACAGAAGGACAAGTACAACAGGGCATCCAGCCTGGGAGGGAGGGCTGGTAGTACCCCTGCTCCGGAATCCAGCTGTGCCTGCAGCGAGATACAGCCTGCACCTTTGGGTTACAAGAACCAACCTTTCCCTTTCCTGAAGCTGGTCTGTTTTCTATCACTTGCCCCCCAGAGTCCTAACTGATGTGCTATGTGACAAGGTCAGGCCTTTGTTTCCCTGGGCCATGGCCTTAGTTCTCTAAAACCCCACCCCTGGGGCCTGTGGGATCTTTCACACTGGTCTCCCGTTTCCCTCAGATCTGGAGCCAAACACCCAGGTTCCTGGGAACTTCCAAATCTGGGGAGCTGAGGACACCTAGGCCTAAATGGGGAGACTGCTTTCAGAATGTTTTTCAAACTCACCCGTGCAGGCACTGTAATCTCCAAGGGGGCTCCTGAAAAAGTTCCTCGTGGCCATAAGCCTCCCTTTCAGTCCAGCTCCCCAAGTCTCTTCCTTGCTTACAAGGGAAGGCCATTAGGGCCCCAACACCTCCCTCATCCTCTCTGGCCACACCAGACGTCTCTCTCTCATCCTCCAAGAGGCCCTGCCCCTGCCCACCCCTCAGCCTTTGTCTAGGAGGTCCCCATCTCCTGCAGTATCCTCTCCCCACCCAAACCTGTAAGGGCCAGGAAGCTCAGGGAACAGTATAGGTGGTGGCGGGTCTGCTCACATCTTCGTCCAGGTTCGTCTGCTCCAAGTCTACAACCTTAAACTGCAGCCTCTTGAAGACCTCTTCCAGGGCCTCACAGGTCTTGTAGTCAAGCTTCTCGCCTGGGAGGAGACAGTAGTGTGTGCGTGTCTGTGGCTATGCACCTGTGAGGCCAAGCATGTGTCTGTGAACTGTGCACTTGTGTACGGTGGGGCTCCTGGCCAAGGGAGGACAGAAGGGCCCTCTGCCCCCACATCTCCCTTGGGCCTAGCCCCTGCCCCTGCCCGAGCTCGGCTCCAGAGGCCAGTGACCCCCAGGTAGGCTGCAGCCCTCCCACTACCCAAGGGTTCCTGGCTTCTGTCCAGACACACACCTTTCAGGTCCAGACAGTCAATGCGGTGACCGAGGTCTGTGAATTCCTAGGAAAGCAGAGTGGATGGTGGTTAAGACAGAAGACTCCTGCATAGGCCAGGCTGGTCCCTGACAGTGGGGGGTCTGCTATTCCTGAAGTGAGGCAGTGTTTCAGGGTGGGGTTTGAGGAAGTGTGTCCACTGGCAGAAACCTGGAGTACAGGGCCTCACACAGCCGGATGGCTCTGCGCCCACAGGGCCTGAGGATAAGCCAGCCCTGGAGCCAGGCAGGCCTGGAAGCAGTACCCCCTGCCCCAACTGGATGAAGTGAGGGGTGGGCTAGGGGGAGGATATCCAGGCAGAGGGAAGAGCCAGTGTAAAGGCAGCAGGGCAGGAGCTGAGGTTGGGAAGACTGACGGGGCTGGGCCCCGGAGGCCTTGTGGTGAAGGCAGGACACCAGGTTCAGCACACAGCAGCTCAGAAAAGGGTGTAAAGGCACAAGGTCAGATGTCTTCCCAGCCTCCTCCCGGCTGAGCTCACCACCCCGCCTCCCCACAGATCCTAGGTCCTGTTCTCCGGGCTTCACATACAGCACCCACAGGTGGGTGCTGGGATGAACCCCATGCAGGAAGAGGCTGAGGCCCAGCACTGCCTAACATCTCTTGGCTAGTATGACGCGGGCCTGGTCCGAACCAGGCCGGGGGCTCCAGGACCCACACTCTCAGCTACCACACTGAATGCCATCTTTCCCTGGACCTGGCAACTCACTCTTTGGAAGCCCCCATCAAACCTACCCTAACCCAGGTGCACAGAGATGGGCAGTGAGCATGGCTGCTCACACAGAGCTGTCTGCGCAGCAACAACCCTAGAAACAAGCAACCTCGGGACACTCGGAACAATCCATCCAGAAGGAGAGCACTAGGGCAGCGTCTCACCAGCGCAGTCAGGCTGCACGGGCCGCAGGAAAGGCTGCAGTTATAGGAAGATGTGTCTAGGGCCGAGCCTGTGGCGCGCTCGGGAGGGTGCTCCCGCCGCGGGTTCGGATCCTGTATAGGGATGACTGGTGCGCTCAGTCTCAAAAAGGACAAAAAAAAAAAAAAGATGTATCTATACAAAAGTGCAAAGCTACCCGCGTTTCTGTGTACCTCTCAACAGTGACCCGTTCTCTTAAAAATGCACAGAAAAGGCCAGAGGACGAACACACAAGCTGTCAACGACAGGGACTCCTGGGGAGTAGGACTTGGGACAAGAAATAAGTGGATTTTGGTTTTTTATGTCTATAGTATTTTTATTTTTTAAAAAATCAGATACTATATGTTACTTTCATAATTCAGACCTTTAAAAATAAATATTGTGGGCCGGCCCGTGGCTCACTTGGGAGAGTCTGGTGCTTGATAACACCAAGGCCACGGGTTCGGATCCTATATAGGGATGGCCGGTTGGCTCACTGGCTGAGCGTGGTGTTGACAACACCAAGCCAAGGGTTGAGATCCCCTTACCGGTCATCTTTAAAAAATAAATAAATAAATAAATAAATAAAAATAAATATTGTATCCCCGTACCGGCCAGCCACCACCAAGACAAAACAAACAAAAAAAGAATTTCTTTGGGGGCTGACTTGAATTTCTTACTTTATATATTTCTGTACTGTTTAAATATTTATGAATAGCCTGATTAGTTTTATAACTGAACAAAAGATTTTCTTTCTTTTTTTTTGTTTTTGCAGCCGGCCGGTACTGGGATCTGAACCCTTGATAACACTGCACTCTAATCAACTGAGCTAATTGGCCAGCTCCTCAGAGGATTTTCAAAGATGTATTTACACAGGCTCTGAGTGGCCAGGCTGGGCGGTGGGATCGCTTCGTGGGGCCCTCTCCTGCTGGCACGGGGGTGGGGGTGGGGTAGCTCCACCCCAGGGATCCCCCACCCCAACTGAGTGAGCCGCCTCCCTGCCCCATCGATACCTGGAGCTGCCTGAGGAGCTTGGGGATCTGTCTGCAGTTCAGCTTCTGGCAGGCCTGCTTGTAGGCGCTGATGACCTCGTCCACGGTCACGTTCTGGGCTGCAGGCACAGAGGACCCAGGCCTGTGACTCTCCACACGCCAGGCCCCTCATAGGCCTCTACCCCTTCCTGCCCCTAGAACCCTGCCAGCACTCCCCCTCCCAGTCTTCCCCTCCACACTCCTTCCAACTGACTGCAGAGACTGAGCTCTATCCTCCTTTTGAGGCCCCTCACTGGGCACTGCTGCCCTAGAGAAGGCGCCCTGGACACCCCCAAACCAAGTCAGCACCACCCCCACACCTCATCTTCCTGAGTACCTTCACAAATACCACACAACTGATAGCACATGAGTTTTCTACTTATCAGCTATCTCCCCCACTAGACTGAGAGCCCCAGAAGGACAGGGCTGGGGCTGTCTGGGTCACCACCACCACATTCCCAACACTGTCCAGCACAGGGCCAGGCTCAAAGCAGGTGTTCAATTTTTTTTTTTTTTTTTTTGGATGAGACAATGAATCCTTACTTCCATCCTACAGAGAAACTAAGGTCAGAGAGATGAAGAACCCTGCCCAAGGTCACACAGCTGAAGCTGGGATTTGAACTCAGCTCTTAAATGCAATGCCATGTGCCTCTCAGACTCCCCACTCCTGAAACACCCTCAACAGCTAAACATTCCCTGACAGCTACTCAGGGACAGACCTCCTGATCCCGCACACAGAAGCAGTCAGAGGAGACAGGCCCCGCCCCGGGTGCCCCCAGGGTAACAGGTAGCAGCTCACAGAATGAATGAAGGGAAGCAGCCCAAACCCAACAGCTGGATAGCCCCTGTCCTTGGGAAGCCCACAGTTTGTCACCATGTGGAAGGTAAGGGTTAGGCTGTCTGCACAGATTTACCTTTTCTGGGCATTTCATAAAAATGGAATTAAACACTGTGTGGCCTTTTGCAGCTAGCCTCTCTCATTGAGCATGATTCTAAGTTTCAGTCCCTTTATACTGCTGAGTAATAATTATGCAAAATATTACATTTTATGTATCCATTCACCAGCTGATAACACATGTGGTACTGTTTTCAGTTTTTGGCTATTACAGCTGAATTTTACCCCAGGGTGGCCAGGATAGCAGAAGGGAAAGGCTCTGTTTAAGTAGGGGAGGGGGAGGGTCAGACCTGGCTGTTATAAAGATCACTTTGGGGCCAGCAGAGTGGAATGGACACGAAGGTGACAGGGCAAGCAGGAAGCAGGGCCAGGAAGTGGGCTTTCTGGTGACCCTTCTCTGCCTACCCTGCTGCCAGCCGGCCCCTACCCCTGGGAGCCAGCAGAGCTCCCTGTGGGAGCTTCTAGTAACAATCCCCATGTGACCCCCTCTAGTTTGTGCACCTCTGGTCTCATCAAACACTGTCCCATTTTCTGGGGGAGGAAACAGGTCCTGGGAAAGAAAGCTGCCTTCCTGGGGCCAGGCAGCAAATAACACATTGCCCCAGAAAGGGGCATCAAACACTGTCCCATTTTCTGGGGGAGGAAACAGGTCCTGGGAAAGAAAGCTGCCTTCCTAGGGCCAGGCAGCAAATAACACTTTGCCCCAGAAAGGGGCAAAACACTTTCTCTCACCAGTGTGCTCACAGGTAGGGGCAGGTTGCTAGAGGAAAGAAGCTGACAGAGGCCAGGTGTCAGCCTCTGCAGAGATCAGGTCTGGTCCCCTGCCTTCACTTCCTCCTTGGGGGCAAGCCCAGCAAAAGCAGGTGTTTCAGGGCCTGGGAGGAGCTGCGGGTGATCCGCAGCATCACCAGGTGTCAGCTGGCCCTTCTGCAAACTGAGAGGGAGCTCTCTGACAGAGGCCCATGCACTTTGTGGCCCGAAGCCCTAGTGGGGACAGGAACTGGCCCTGCCTGGGAAGGCAGCTCTCAGAACTTAAGCAGCTGCCTCAGGGCATCCAGCTAAGCCCATGCAAGCCCTGGTCTTAACAACTGGGGTCCACTGACCCCCAAGGGACCCATGAACTTGAGGGGGAAAAATTACCTCTTTATTTTCACTAACTGAACCGAAATTTAGCATTTCCTTTTTATTAACATAGGCCAATAAAACAAAAAGAAACACTGTTTAGTAGGCACCGTGACTTTCTTGTCTAAAGAAATGATAGCTGTTTTCATACCATATAAGTTACTGCAGACTTTGAATGTTCATCACTACTTTGAAAACCATAGTCATTACAGCTGCTGCTATATCCTATTATTTTGTGTGTTAATGAGGAAGAGCATAAATACGAGATTACAATTTTTAAAAGTAATTAGCTAACTGTATTTTAACTGGCATACTTTGTAATCCAGTTTTATTTTCTACCTTTAAAAATCATCACTTTCCGAAGGGGTCACCATGATTTACTGGACACCAAAGGGTGAGAACGGATGCCCTAGACAGACACTTGCTTCAATAAAGGGCCCCCAAGCCCAAGCTGGGTTGGCCTGCTCACATCAGATGGGATAAAGTAGGGACTGGGCACACATGGGCTGCTATTATCATCACCAGCAGCTCTCAGCATCCTAGACAGTCTACAGCAAACAAAAGACTCATAAGCAATGTCTCAAACTGCTACAGGTCCTTTAGGTGTTTAGCACCTATGGACCCTCCTCCAGGAAGCCCTCCCTGACTGTCCAGGCTGGGTCAGGTTCCCCCTCTGGTTCCCGAAGCCCCCTGGGATCCACCATCCCATCCCTGTCCACTGTCTAGGGATGGGTCTGTCTCCTCCACTGAACTGCTAAACTGTGAGCTCCAAGGCAGGCAGTGGGGAGTCCTAGGCTGTCTAAGTCACCATTGTGTCCCCAGCACCAGCAAGCACAGCGTTGAACTTACGGTAGGTATCAAAACATATTTCATCCATGAATGAGGTGGATGGTGGAGGATGGGAGGCACTAGAAAAGAAAGAGAGGAGGTACAGCCCCTGGGGGCCTGTCCCACCCACCCACTACATCTTCCTTTCACTGGGCCTTAAGTTTCCCCACCTGCAAAATGGAAACACTAAAGATCCCTACGGTTTCTGATAATCAACGCCTACGGATGTGGGTGTGCCGGGACCAGAGACAGGCAGAGGGCAGAATCACAGAGCTGAAGAATACCTATCAGTTCTGAGTTTTCACAATGCTATGGTTTGAATGTTTGTCCCCTCCCAAACTCATGTTGAAACCTAATACCCAATGCGGCAGTATTGAAAGCTGGGGCCTCTAAGAGGTGACTGGGTCCTGAGGGTTCTGCCCTTGTGAATGGATTAGTCCATTCACGGGTTAATGGATTAGTGGGTTATCAAGGGATGGGACTAGTGGCTTTGTAAGAAGAGGAAGACAGACCTGAGTTAGCACACTCAGCCCTAGCCATGTGATGCTCTGCACCACCTTGGGACTCTGAGAGTCCCTACCAGTAAGAAGATCCTCACCAGATGTGGCCCCTCAACCTTGGACTTCCCAGCCTCCAGAACTGTCAAAAACAAGTTTCATTTCTTTATAAGGTACCCAATTTCAGGTATTCTGTTATAAGCAACAGAAAACCAGGACAGGCAAGTTCTTTTCCAACCCAAATCCCAATGTTCTGAGGTGTGGGGAGGAGGGGAAGGCACATGTCAATAAACCTGACCAAATGGTGGTTCAAGTTTATCCAGAAAAGATCTGTAGGAACTGCCAAGGTAATTTTCAAACAAGAAATGACTGCGTAGTGCAGGGAGGAGGTTCCATCCTATCAAGTAGTAAACCTACATGAATGAAAACAGTATGGTAACAGAACAGGACCACACAGACTGATTAAAGAACAGACAAGTGAGTTCAAAAGCAGAGACAAGTTTCTATGAGAATTCAGTGTCAAAGTTGACAGGGCCGGCCCGGTGACACACTCGGTAGAGTGTGGCGCTTGGGAGCGCAATGGCGCTCCCGCCGAGGGTTCGGATCCCATATAGAGACCGGTCCGCTCACTGGTTGAGCGTGGTGCGGGCGCGACACCGAGGGTTGCGATTCCGTTGCCGGTCGCGGTACGGGCGCGACACCGAGGGTTGCGATTCCGTTGCCGGTCGCGGTACGGGCGCGACACCGAGGGTTGCGATTCCGTTGCCGGTCGCGGTACGGGCGCGACACCGAGGGTTGCGATTCCGTTGCCGGTCGCGGTACGGGCGCGACACCGAGGGTTGCGATTCCGTTGCCGGTCGCGGTACGGGCGCGACACCGAGGGTTGCGATTCCGTTGCCGGTCGCGGTACGGGCGCGACACCGAGGGTTGCGATTCCGTTGCCGGTCGCGGTACGGGCGCGACACCGAGGGTTGCGATTCCGTTGCCGGTCGCGGTACGGGCGCGACACCGAGGGTTGCGATCCCGTTACCGGTCACAAAAAAAGACAAAAAGGAAAAATAAATAAATAAATAAATAAAGTTGACAGATTACATCACTAGGAAAAGAACAGATTATTCAATACATTAGCTACTTTGGGACAACTAGAGCTAACCATCTGGAGAGGCAGGTAGTAAAATTAGATCCCTTCTGCACGACATATTTCAGTATATTTCAATGGATTAAGTAAACATAAAATCAAATGAATGCATAAAGTTGAAGAAAACATAGTTGAATAATTAAATAACCTTGATATTGTAAGGACTATCTGGGCATAAAGGCCACCGAAGATAGAAACCACAAAGAGAAAACAAACAAACAAAAACAACAGACTTACCACATGAGAGTTAAAAATTCTGTAAAGATTTTTTCAATTAAAAGGGAAATGCAACCCCATGCTGGCCAGCTGTCCCACAAAAAAAAGGGAAATGCACAATTGGAGAAACCATCAGAAGCATAAGAATCTGCCTGACACACAGAGCACCCCCGGCCTACAGACTTTGTGCCAGAGCTTTCTCCAGGAGTGCATCAAGTCCTTGAAGCAGGAAGCCATGAGAGTGGCTAGGTCTGCCCTAGGCTGTCCTGTATGGTGGTTCAAGCTCAAGTTCAAGTCCCAACCCCTTGCTCTGTAGCTTTGGGCCATTCTCTCACCTCTCTTCAAATTCTGGAGAATGTTTCAGCTTTCTCACATCTTAAACAG